GTGAAATAGGAAGATAAATAATTTCTGGCAAAGGTGTTCACAACAATGATCTCTCTTTCTAATTTTGGGGGCAGAACACAGGAATATTGTATTTTGAGACAATTTTATGGCAGTGATCCCCTTTGCACATGGGCAAAGAGGAGAGAAAAAAATTCACTAAAAAATCTGATTTCATTTCCACCTTATTTTCCCAGAAAACTTCTGTAAACTCATAAAACTTTGCTTCAAATGTTCATGAGTACATGATTTCAGCCCAACAATTACAACTTGAAAGAGTACATTTCCTCATACATTTATCAGGCCCCACCTACACAGTTATTTGGCTTAGTACAGAACAGTATGTCTAATAAATATCACTGAGGTTCTCCTTGAACAAACCAGAATCATTTCACATCCACAGTCCATTTTCCTTCATTCACTAATGTCTCTTTTTAATATAGTAGTTCATTAAAAGATAATTACATGAAAATGTAGAAGACCTTGAGCCTGTCCAGTGGTTGCATCAGACATCAATTTACTTCTACTTTGAGAATGATTTTAATAACTCTCTAGCCTTTTTGCATGAATAAATATAGAATTCAGAAAGGAAGCACAGCTCTTTCCATTTAAAGATGAAAATCAGCAAGGTCCTTCTCTGAGAGAATGAAATATTTGGGTTTTTCCATTTTCCCTGTAAAAATCTTAAATTTCAGCAAGACTGTTGCACTGACCCAGACTGGCTTAGAGGTGGGTAGCTATTTCTAAAGAATGTAACAGAAAAACTGAAGCCTAGAGACTCCAGTCTCTAGGAGTCAATAAAAGTTTCTACAGTCAAATGGCATGTGATTTTAGCACTCTGTTACAGCCAGCAGAGAGTTTCACTCCCTGGGCTGTATAGCAGTAATTTCTGAAGCATTCTCAGACAATTTTTGAAGGTAACATTGAAGGATGTAGGCTTCAAATGTGCAGTAACACTGTATTTTCGTTATCACAACAAACAGTACACAGAATCTTCTCTCTACAACCTGAGATTTCAGGCTGTTCAAAGAAGTAAATACCCCATGTCACATACATAATCACCATCTGAATCTAGCACATGAGCACTCAGATCTTTGATGGCCACATTTCCTATGATTTGATGTTAGGAAGCCATCAGCACTCAAGAATTGAAAGAATTATGTAGTTGTCAGTGTGGTTAAACATGGTCTATCAGGTAAATAATGGGTTTTTCTTTAGGTGTCTGGCATTTAGCATTATGGCAATTTTTTGCCATGGCCACTAATTCCTCTAGCACCCTGTTGCTCTGATCCCACATGGCACTTAATGATAAATCTGTCTTGTCACACATTGAAAGGAGGGGAAGAATGCTAACTCCTAGAAACCCTCATTCACTTACCACACTATAAAAATAATAAAAAATAATAGAAATAATAGAAATAATAAAAATAATAAAAATAAAAATAAATAAAATAAAATAATTAATAAAATTAAATAAAAAACAATAAAATAAGGTGCTTTTGGTTTCATAAAATTAGGATCTTTGGGCCCAAGTCATCAGAAAGCTTTTAAAACAATGGAGAAACAGCAAACTAGGTCTGTATTGGAGCAGAAGTCATCTGCACGTATGGTTGGAGTCTCAGGGTTGCAACTGCTGTAATTCCATTTGAAAGCTGGGACTCTCCATCATTTGAAAGTTGGAGTGCACTTCTCCAAATCAGAACAGAAACAATCTTCAAGAAGGCATCAGATTGTAAACAAAAACAAGGCTTCTGTCCCCTGCTATGCAACAGAAGTAAAACGGACATGGCAATGATCTTATTCGATGTGCCCCCTTTATCCTCACGTACAAACAGGGGAGCACAGACTAAATAATAACACGTAATTTTTATGTCCTTTGGGTTTATTCAGAAAAAGAGAATGAAGCATTTGGACAAAATATAACAGCTGTAAATTATGCCTCAGATGCTGACTGCATCAGCAGAGATTCTTGCAGTCTAATTGTCTCTTGAAGCAGCACAGTAACAGATGCAGAAGGAAACACTTGCAAACACAAGAGGAAAGAAGAAAAATAACTCTTCAGTACTGGAAGAAGTTTTTAAAAGACCCATGGACAAGGAAGAAAAAAAGAAAATCAATAAAATTTCCACAGGAACTCATAAGTAAATGTTCCTACCACACAGTTCAAGAGCCACTTGAAGCCTCCATTTTTTTCTACATGAAGCCTCTAAAACATATTTCAGTTGTGTCCACTCTGCTAAAAATAATATATGTGGAGTTTTTCATTCTGCATTAAGTGACCTCCTGTGAGGAAAATCTCAGCAACCATATTCTATATCATATATTTAGAATTAACTAGAGACACTTAATCAAGATTTTGTCTACCTTCCCCAATATTTACTGAAAGTCCATATTTAATATCAGTTGTTACTCATATCACTTAAATGGCAGATAAAAGTCACAAGTTGGCAACTTTTACAATTTATTGAGAAACCTCAGCTAACTAAGTGCAGAAGGAAAACTGGGATTACATTTAGAGGAAAGAAAGATTGCATGTGTTTTCCACTATATCTAAAAGTTGTATCATCATAAGGAAATTGTGGAGACAGAGATAAAAGTGAGATAAGACACAAATATTCAAGAGTATGATGGAATTAATGCCTTAAAAAAAGGCAAATCCTTCAACGTGAACATGGGGTGATTATTTAAACTGAAAGATTTGATCACAAGAACTAGGATTTATTGTACAACAGTGTGAACCTTGACCCAACCACAGAGCTACATGATTTTAGTATGTTGAAGAAAAGTTCTATTATATCTATTAAAAGAGAAAATCTTCATAGCTCTCCTCAGGAAAAAAAAAATAATTAAAAACTAAAAGCATGTAAACATTGTCACTTAAAAGTTAAGGCAGATAGCATAACATAGAGAATATTTACTTAACCTTTATCTTCATCTGAGGGAAATGTGACAACTAAAATTCTAGATGTAGAAGAGAGGTTTTTCTTCCCCACATGTCCATGTGGACAATAGGGGATCAACAAAGACTCCAGAAAAACCATGAATGTTTTATTCATGTACATGACCTTCCCTGAAGCCATCTGCAGGTAAAATAGATTTATTACTTGTAACTGAGGGATCTCAAGATTATTTTCCAAGACTTCATAAAATAAATATTTTAAAACTGTTGCCTATGAACCAGTGATGGATTTCATGCATTATTAGTAGTACTATAAGAGCAGATACAATTTATGCTGATCCTGATCTCCTTGTTTGCAAGTTTAGTTTCTTAAAAGAAGAAAACAACAACAAAACAATAAAAGTACTACAACACTATTTTTGAACTGCCAATTCCTGTAGTGACTATAGAAATCTTACAACATTGTAAAAGGAAAGGAAAGGATGAAATGCAGACAGCTTTTCTCAGGTGAGAACCACTGTATGAAATAAAGATTCTAGAACATTTATATTTGAAATAAAATTTAGACAGAATTGCAGTATTTATTTTGGACTACTTTAATCTAAAAAATGCTAGTTGAGAAATCTTTACAATTTTTATGAGATTAAAAGTTACATATAGAATAATCAAAAACTTATTAGAACCTGCATCCAAGAGAAGAGAACGAAAAACACAAAGCTAGTACAGTGGACCATTAATTAAATACACGTAAGCATAACTGGATGTAAATGTGCCAAATGAAAATGTAATGTCATCAACATAAAGCATAATTATAAATCCTAGCTGTGATCTGCCATACGTACAAAGGTCAAAGTTAAATCTGCAAGACGTATTCATTTATGGATTCTCTAATTTTAGTTTGCATTTCTTGAACCTCTATCTTTTCTGGGTCATAGCTGTGATATTAATGACATAACCTTTAATGAGTTCTAGCCATATAAACCAGGATGTTCAGATCATATACAAACATAAATAAATAAATAAAATCTCATGAAAAAATCAACCATTGTCTTAACTTCTAGAAGCAAAAGCAGATTTTACATCTTCCTCCTGACTGCATCCCAAACCTGAGATTAATAAAATCTGTCTCAGCTCTTTCCTAATCCTTGAGTTGAGAAAAACCCAGGTCCAATCTCAAGTGCAGCAACAACTGATCATTTTTTATTTAGTCTTTCCCTTTTTCTCCTAAGATTCCCAGCTTTGGCCTATGCTTGCTGGACTTACAAATGATTTGTTGAGGAAAGGACTAACCTGATGAGCTACACTTCTCTGTTGCAACAGATTTTCTGTGGCATGAGTAAGCATTAGGTGTGCCAAAGACAGGAAGAACCAGTCTGTAACCTAAGTAGTTCTTTACACACAAAATACATGGGATTTAATCCCTTCTGCTCTGAGCACATACTCGTCTGCTAAGTTTTCCCTATAGATATAGGCTTACATACAGCTACTGATTATTCTTCATTGATAAAAGCAATCTGAAATTTTTAGCAGGCTACAACAAGCCATCATTATTACATATGTTCCAGGAAAGTGGCATTTTTCTCAGTTCTTACAAAATGAGTAAGCCTTTAATATTGTTGGGTTGAATTAATTCACATCTAAAATATGTGCACAGTACCAGAACAGAGAAATTAACTTTCCCTTCCAGGATTCACAGAACAAGAATTACATATCCAGAAGTTTATTTAACCAATATGGACTGATTTGAGACTATCAGTGCTCTTCATACTGAACTGCAAAATCTTGCGTTAAATTTCGTTCAGCAGGATCCGAAGCCTACCATGAGAGACCAAAAAAATACTGAGTTAAAAATAATAACAGAGGAATTCTAATTCTATTGAAATCAACGGTCCTCTTATTTTTCATGCACATTTGGACAAGATAATGTTATATTTGGGAGCTTTTCATTCTTTGTTTAATAAAATAATTTTGATTTAATAGACTTCAACTCAATCAAATCAGAAGCTTCCTCCTTTAGTTAGAAACCTTATCAGCTGCCCAATGAAGTTAAAAGTCAGGGAGGCAGACAGTAATGCTAAAGACTTGATGATGGCTGTGTACATACCACCTTTCATCATTCCCACTTCATAGCATTTTCTCAGTCGGCAGGCCTGGCAGCTCTTCCTTCTGTTCTTGTCAATGGTGCACTGGTTTGTAGCAGGACACATGTAGTCATTGTGCCCTGTAAAACCAGAGGGAATGTAAGGACACAGTTATACACAGACGTAACAAAAATTACTGTAACGCCTTGGGAAAAAAATAGCAGGATTAACATCATGACCTTTCATAAAAGTGTTGATACAGATTTTGGAACTGACATCTCTATGCCACACATTCATTTGCAAGTTCTTTAAGTTAAAACTTCTGTAGACTAATTAAAATAGTGAAAAAATAAAGCAACCACAAAAGGGGATATATTAATATGAACAAGTGCCTTGACTTCCTTGCTCTCAGGCCAAGAAATACAACGCCATATGGTTCTGTGTGCCTGTGCTGATGTTTAACCAATAGACTGCACAAAATGAGGTTTACAAAATTAAAAAGATCTAAGCACAGAAGATCTATGACAGTCAGGGCCAGTTAAGAAACAAACAACATAAAACAGAAGCAACAATCCTCAAATAATTAATTGTACCTCAGGGATAAATCAGTTGCTTATTCCAGCTGCATGTCTACTGATTTGTGCAAAAACTTCTTGACATGACAAATTCTAAAATTACCACATGCTGAAACCAAGCTTGTTATTGTATTGTCTCCTTCAGAGCTCCTCTTCCTCATTTATTGCTTTCTACATCTCAATTCTCATAACAAGCAATTTTAGCATACCATTATTTGTTACTGCCAAAAAAGCATCTATTCCAATTTGCTCTTAAAAAATGTGTGCTTAAATCTTCTATAAAATGATTTACCAGCCATTGACAAAGATTAGCAAGGATGAAAAAGCCTCTTCAAAATTATCTCATTGGTGCTCTGTATTCATCTGAATACAACTAAGGTACAGCACACATATGCAAAATAAAATAAAGAAAAAACCAAAAAAAATTACTGCAGAACTGTTCGTTCTTTCTTTGAGGTCAAGGGATCAGCTTGAGGTAAAGTAGGGTGGAGGTTTCACAGAGGCCTTGGTCTCATCAAATCATCTATCCTTGACTACAAATTAGAAAATAGAGTAAAAATTACTATCAGATTACACCAGGAACATCTGCTCTCTAAAGCTGCAGAACTGGGATCTCATCAAAATAAGTAGCCAACCTCTAAACTTGTTAAAAGGGGAACAGCTGACTATGCCCTGTCTTAAATTGACAGAACTATTATTTTTTCAATCTACTGGACAGAACAAAATAATACTGGAAAAGTCTGTATCCACATGCTTTGCTCCAGCATCGTGGTAAACAGGTACAACTCAACCACCATCTCAACCCAGCACGAGAGAATGCTTTAATTTTCAGTTCCTCTGGCTGGATACAGACTGTTCTATATCTGATTCAAAACCCTTCACATGTAAGGAAACAAAAAAAAAAAATCAAGTCAGAAATAAAACAGTCTCAACCACACATGCAGGCACATGCAGTGTCTACAGGGGAAAAGAAGTGGAAAAAAAAAAAAGGAAACCCATATTTTTAAGAAAATGCATTTATATTGAGTCACACTAAGCAGCAGTGAAAGAGTGCAGCTGACCTTGATCACCTGCCTTGTTTCATTAGTGAACATTGGAAATACCACGAGATAAATATGGAAAATTTAATTATTCTTTTTAAAAACAAAGAAATACTTTGAAAGAATAGCTAATCTTCTTCCTGGTGAAGTTAAAAGGTAAATTCACATGGTGAATGAGTGCAGGCTTTGAAATCAGCAAATAATTCAGAACACAATTTAGATCTCTCTAAAATAAGCAGATAAATCCCACTTAGGTCGAAGCTGAAATCATGCTTACCATCTTTGCTGGATTGCTCATAGTGCTCAAAGGTTAAAAAAGAAATATGTGACAGAAGTCACAGATGCAAAAACCAAAAATCAAGTGTAATCAACATCATCAGGGCAGCCATCCTGTTTTCGCTATGCTTGTGTGGGTGATAACCTTCTCCTTGGCTAGGAGTCTGTATTTACGTGTGCAAACCACAAGTGTTTGGAAATAAACACTTGGCTTGTAGAATAGTATATAAACTAATCCTATTTGTAAGAGAGCTACAGTTTCTACGTTCATATCAAAATGGTTTTCCTTCTGAAGAGTTTTATCATGAATTTACTGTTTAAATGTTAGCATAATTAGTCTGTTTTCATGCATATGATCTGCACCTTATACAATACACTGTTCACTCACAGTGCTTGGTTGATTTGACAGAATAAAGAATGTAAAATCTGGCTGCTAAAAACCAGAAAGATCAATGTGTGATGGGCATACTTCTCTAGATTGCAAATATCATTGTTTAGCCTTTCATATTTCCTGTAAATCTAGGAAAAATATAATGCATTTAATATTTATCTTAATTTTTGGTTTATTTTAACCAAAATAGCCTTCAAGAGATAGGAAAACATGTAAGCAGCCAGAAGAAAATGTTTGATAATTTGAGTATACAGTAAAAAACATTATCAGTTTAATCAGGAAAGAAGAAAGAAACAAAGGGAAGGAGGAAGGCTGGAAACTTTCCTGCTTCTCCACAATACTACCTGATTTCAAGTATTTAGTTGCTGGAAGCGAAAAAAGAAGTTTCCTTTGCAAGGCACAGACAGACTAGGGCAGTCTAGCTTGGGGCAGCATGGAAGAGAAAAAGGCAGGAAAACACAATTAAGGAATAGGTAATATGCAAAAAACAAGTTTTACTTTAAAGTGAAATAATACACAACTAAATAACCTTGCTGTAGGTGAATTTTCTTTTAACTATTCTACTTTCATCTAATGCTTAAAGCTCATCTCTCAGCAAAGTTGATTCCAACCAATCTGACCTACTAGAAGGGATTTCTCACTGGTAGGAACCATCAGCATGAAAATCAGGCTCCCAGCTGCCCTGCCCATTGTTTTCATGGTATCCAAAGCATGGTACATGCCAGAAGAAAGGGTGATTAGGCTACTTGAGAGGGGGTATCACAAGGAATACCAAGAGGAAGAAATGCCTTCCGTGATCACTAATACCTGTAGAGGGAAGCATATGTCACTTGGACTCTGTGAACTTACTGAGGCTTTTAAGAAATGAATTATCAGATAACCCGCACAAAATTAAAGGCGGTGAATTTAACAGGGTGGATCCCCTAGTTTTAATCCCCTGTATGTATAACTTGGAGTTTCATGAGCTACAATGGAAGAGTTTAAGGGCTCTATTGGAAGAGCATAGGGAGGGATGGTCTCTTTTTCTTGTGAAAACTCATAAATTGCACATTTTAAAACAGTAAAAATAAAATTAAGCACATAAAATTAGGTATGTTAAGGTATATTATAGCACTTCAGAATATGCTAAGGTCTCTCCAGAATGGGGTGCAAAAATCAGGCCCTTTTCTCATGTGACACTCTGAATGATAATGACCAACAGTGAAGGGGAAAAGGATAAGGATGCCTAAACTGATGTAGTTGAATTGACTCATCATGCATCTTGAACAAAACCAGTAATAATTACAATCCTCTTACTACTATGTGCTTTTCCTTTAATTATTCTTTTATTTTCAATCCTCATGTCACCTATTTCTTAAACTATTCTTTATCTATTTGAATAAGGCAGCTACCAGCTTAGCCACTGCCTCTGGAAGCACCATATCCTTCTATGATCCGACAGTGAAATTAGCAAAATTTTCATACATGTCAGCTAGGATGAAAGGAAGGAAAGGGAAGCTAAACTGTAGACTTTATCCACACCTTAAGGCGTCAAACAAGACTGAAGATGAAAAGCAAACTTTGAGAAGAATGACATTAACAACAACAACAAAAAAAAAAACTCAGTAAAAACAAATCTTGAATGTAAAATAAAAAGAGCAATTTTAAGTGCCCCAGTAAAACTGCACTGATTGGTTTTAAAATCACACTTTTTGCTAACAGCACCACAGAAAAACAGAAGGTTATGTCTAAATCCTTTGTAAGCACTGATACTCAAATTTGCAGCTTAATTACTCTCAGACAAGGTCTTTGGATTTGGAATTTGGGTTCTCTTAGCAACTGCTCAGCATGCTGAGAAGACTAATCTTCCTCCTGGTTTTAAACAAGCAAAACATTAGTAACATTACAGTAAGGATTATGGTCTGAAAGGCTGTAAAACATACTTCATTTGCATCCAGTGAGGAAGTCCTCTTTTTCTGCATACCACAGAAGGAAAGATTATGAAATATCCTGAGTTAGAAGGGACCTGTAAGGATCATCAAGTGCACAGGGCAGACCCACCAATCACACCGTGAGCCTGAGAGAGCATTGACACACCTCAATCACAGAGCCACTGAAGAATGAGAAAGGAGGAGAGGTTAAAATTTATATACTCCTTCAGCCGTAATTAATAATAATAAATAATAAAATAAAATGTTATGTCCTTCAGCTGTGTCATGGAGCTCACAGAGTGTTTGCCTTCTAGTGGAATCTTGTCTTCTCTTACACATAACTGAATGGCTCACACAAGCAGGTAATTACTGCCAAATCATTATGACAGTGAACTTTTCTTAAACCTTTCCATGTACTAACAGGAAAAATGAAGAAAGAAGAAGAATGGACACTGCATGAGGCTACCAAGACCGCTGCTATCTCACCAGTATAATAATGAATGAACTTATGTATTGAGAAAGGGTGATAAATATAAAAAAGCCACTACCTAACTTTATAAATTTATAAATAAAAAATTATATTTTCTAGTCAAGCAAATAATTTTTAAGCTTTTACTATTGGCCTTATCTTAAAATTTAATTTGTTGTTTCATCTACTATTTCAGTATTATAATACCATGTACAAAGTCTACTTCTACCCCAATCCAATTTTTCTAATTTTAGACAAGGTAACAAAATAGAAACTATATTTTTTCCTCATGACAAATAAAAATAGACAAAAATACTGATTCAATCTTACAAAATCTGGCAAGGAGTATGACATCAAGTTTCTGTTTCCCTAGCTGATAAATCACAATTGTTTTAAGTCCTTGGCACATGATTAAAACAACAGCTGTGTTAAAGGGAAAAACTCCCACAATGTATTACTCACAACCATCTCAATATGAT